CGATAGGACCAGTAGAAAACATATTCTAAATTGTACTCCATTAAGTATTCTTATTTTATACAAGTTATATAAAATTTTAAATATTAAAAGCTCTTATAAATTAGAAAAAAGTTAAGAAATTAAGAATGGCAATTAATTTCATAAATTTATATTAGAAGTATTATAATTTTTTTAAAATTACAATAATAAAATTTAATTTTTTTTTATTATATATGTGTAAAAAGTATCAATTTAATAATGATTTTTCTATAACATCTTAAATTTATATAATTTAGCAAATAATTTTTAAATAACTTAACTTTATAGTTCGTTATATATATATATATATATATATATATATATATATATATATATATATATATATATATTTAGCATATTCTTATTGTCTATATGTATAATTCTTTTTAATGTTTGGTTTAGCAATACTAATTACTATTTTCTTCTATATTACTTCATCATATTTCTTCTTTTTTAAAAATAGCTACATTAATTGATTATTAATTTTATATAAATAAATAAAAATTTTAACACATTTTAATTTTAATAAATATAGATGTCCAAAATTTAATAAATAAATTAAATTTATAATATATATATATATATATATATATATATATATAATATATATATATATATATATATATATTTATTAAATATTATTTTTATCTAATTCCAAAATCTCTACTAGTTATTTTTTTTTATATATTTGATATAAGTGATTATTAATATTTTTAATTTATTATTAAGAAAATATATATAAGTAGTTAATCTTATTTAATTTTTATTTTCCATTTTAATAATAATATAAATATATATTTATAATAATTATTAATATTAAAATTATAAAAAAGAAAATAATATTAAAATCACAAAACACAAAATAAATTTAAATAAATAAATTAAAATGACAAAAATAAAAATGTATAAAATTATTTGATACAAAATAAAATTAATTTTAAGATTTTACTATAATGTAATATTATATTTAAGATAAACACAATTTAATTTTATAAAATAATTATAATATGATAAAAATACGTTTATAATGTCACTTATTTACATTTCAAATAATCAAATAAAGATTCCGCATTATAAAATATTTAATAATGATTAATTAATTTTATGATATTACTAATAAATAAATACTAAGGTACAAAATTAATAATTTTCTGAAGAGATAAAATAATTTAAAATAATAAATATAAATATAATATAATATAATATAATGAATTGAACTAAAATGAATAAAGCAGCTTAATAATTTAACATTTTTAAAAATTAAAATAATTTAATTTAAATTAAAAATATCAATTAAGATTTAAAAGAATTTTGACATTTTAAGTGAAAAATGGATGAATCTATTAATAAAGAATTTATTTTTTTATTAAGGAATTAATTAATTATTACAAAACTATTTATATTGATAAATGTGGAATTCCCATAATTAATTAAAACATTTATTATGCTTGGATTTCAAAAAGGTTAGTAAATTATAATGATAAAACGACACTTCTAAAAATTTTAAAATTATTGTATCTATGATAAATAAAAGTTAAATCTAATACATACTAATATAATTATATTCTTTTAAATTAATTTTTATGGGATTTATTTCAAAAATATTAAAATGAAGTAGTAAAAAATAGCAAACAGGATAAAATTAAAAACTATATTGTACATTTAATAAAATACGTTTAAATTTAATATTAATAAACATCTTTTATTGAATTTTACAAAAATATTAATTGTAAGAATATAAATTTTAAAATATTATTAATAATTATATAAATAAATAAATATTATATTTAACTTTAAATAAAATAAAATTATATAATAAATATATGGTTAATTAATTTAAGAATAATTAATTAAATAATCATAAAAAATCAAAGAAAAACTTAACACAATTAAAATTATAATATTTTTGTTTATATATTTTATAATTTAAAAATAAAATTTATAAGCCTACCTGATTTATTTTTCAATTATTTATTTAATGAACAAAATGAGAGTGTATAAATATTTATAGATATAACATATTTTTTAAATAATAGATTCCCATTATTGTTTTTAATTTTAGTTTAGATATATATTTAAGATACACATTTATTTTTATTATAAAAATAATTAAATATTAATAATATTTTTGTGTGTAAATTATTGCAATTATCAAAAAAACTTTGTTTTATTATTTAATAGAAATATATTAATAAAATATAAAGGACATATTGTATGAATAATTTAATTATAAAAAGTTATTTTGAAATATTTTCTTCGTTTTTTTCTTTATAAGCATGTCATTTACAAAAGAAATAAACCATATTGTAGTTTTAAAATATTTCATTAATTAATCCTTTAATGCATATGTTAAAACCTAATATTTTTAATCCTTCGCACTCTCTGCTATAAGTTGTATAGAATAGCTCTATTTTAGGACAAGCTTTTAAAATTGCATTAATTATAATTAACATATGCATGACAATATTTGCCTTGATAACAAGACTTAAGTTTATTAAAATATTTTACATATAAATTTATTCTAATATAAAAAGTAAAATAATTTATTGTTTCTAATCAAATATATAACTAAAATCACAAAAAAAAAAATTAAATGAACTAAATTTATGAATAGTAATTAATATAAGTTTTTATAACCGTTATTGATTTTCTTTTTAAAAAATATCAATTATATTAGTTTAATATTTTCGATTAATAGAAAAAATTAAATGAAAGATAAGCATAGATTATAAAAAAGAAACTTCATATTTTTAAAATGTTAAATAAATATAAAATTTATAAATTCAAATATTTAAATAAAATTTATATTTGAAGTAATTATTTCATTTAGTTTTATATATGTATATATATATAGTAATATATTTACAAATTAATAAAAATTTATATATATATTTAAAAATTAATAAAAAATAGATTTATATTGTTTTATTGATATATTTAAATTATTATATATAAGATAAATAATTATATACTTAATTATATTTTTTATATTATTTAATTTTATAAAAAATAATATATATTTATAATTAATATTTTTATCCTCACATTTTTAATTATAAATTTTATTTCAAATGTAAAAAAATTAATATACATATCAATTAATGTTATATATTTTTATATAATTTTTTTATTTTTATTTTTAATAATAATTATAATTTTTTAATATATTATATTTTACTTTTTTATATCAAATCATAATTTGATATTCATATTTTTAAATTATTTACTCTTAATATTTTTTTTGCTTCCTTTTTGTTACTAAATCTTAATTTGTCTAAATTAACATTATCATAATAATTATTTATATCATTTGTATAAAATTTTAATATTTGTATTTATTAAAAGATTTTTATTTTATTATATTATGATTATTTTATTATTTAACAATTTATTTATTAATGTTAATTAAAACAACATATTTTTTAAATTAGAAATTCTGTTTCAAAAATATGTGAAAAAAATGTCATAAGAAGACTACTTTTTAAAAAAATTATAATAAAAAATTAAATAAGTAACTTTAGTACATTCATTATAAAATAAAATATTATTATTTATTATAAATATTATTAAAAATAATTTAATAGTGATTTAGGTTTTTAAAAATATTTTAATATAATTATTCGGAAAAATGAAATAATTTAATTTCTAATCTTAAACTTATTATATATAATATATCAGTTATTTTAAAAAAAACAAATAATTTTATATATTATATACTTTACTAAAATATATTAATTTTTTAAGCACTTAATTTAGAATAATATTAGATTATTATAATTTTTATCCTAATTTTTTTCCTGTTTAGATTCTTATAAACTAAATTTACCTTTCAAAGTTGAAAGTCATGTTTAATTTTATATAAAAAATAAAAAAAATAAACCTTTATCTTTTTTTTTCTTTTAAATATTCCAAATAATTGAAAATTTAATTAAAGATTAAAATAAATTAATAAATAAAAATTAATTTTTTTAAATAAAATATAAATTAAACATATAAAATAACTATTATAATTAATTATTTAAAGTTTAATTAAATTATCAAATAATTAAATATATATATTTATCTAAGAATATTAAAATTGCTGTTAAGACCATCAGTTTCATACTTAAGAGTTATCCATTATCGGCATAATAAATGTCAATAGTATCTTAATCTAATGTTAACTGTTGATCATCCAATTATTTATTATTTATAATTAATTAAGCATTTAATTACGTATTAAGAGGATAATTATGTCTAATTAATATAAAAAAATAAAATATTGATCTTCCATTTATTTATTTAATTTAAATTTGATAATTATTTGATTCTTTTTTGTTAGACTATTAGAAATCATTTTATTTTCTTCATTAATTAAGATAAATTATAAATATTCCATATTACTTAATTTTATATCTTATAAATATCTTCAGATGTAATACTGTAAACTTAACATATATCTAAATAATATTAGTCTGAACTTTAATTTTAATTTTAAGATTGTAATTTTAAATTTAAATGGATATCATTTTTTATGATATCTGCAATTCCTTAATTATATATTTCAATATATAAAATATTCAATACTTAATTATATGGTATATCTTCTTAATTCTTTATTTAGAAATCGTTTCTTTAAAAAATTCTATTTGCTAATAAGTTATCTAATAATTCTAATTTTTATATACTTTTATTTATAAATAATATAGTTTGTTATTTATTTTTAATAAAAACATTGGATCATGGTTCATTTTATATATCATATACATTATAGGAGGTAAATTATTTCTAGGCTTTTAATAATTTTATTTTGAGAAGGATAAAAACCATTTTACATATATCCAATTTCAGGAGTAAAAGCTATAATATCTTTATATTTTATTAAAACATTTAATTTTTTTTTTTTTTTAATAAAAAACTTTTTTCTTTTAGCATCCAATCATTAATTTCACCATTAGCAAGGTAAAAATCCATTTATATAGCATTTCCTTTTAATGCATCTTATGAAAAATTAGCTTAAGCAAAAAATTCTTAATAAATTATGTAATATTTTTGCATTTATTTCAATAAATTATTTTCTTTATCACTTATATAATTAAAGGGAACTAACCATAAATTTCCATATGAATGCAAATTAAATGCAACTTTAATATTTTTTCTTAAATCAAGAAATTTTTATATATTTTGTGTTTCTTTAGCTGAAAAAGCTTATTATCCTCTATAAGTTATACTGCAAGGATCCGGAGAGCTTCCTATATCATCAATTCCAAATGCTGTCCCGTAGTTTCTATTTAGATCTACTCCTTACAATACATTATGTTCACACTATTTTTCGATTTTTCTATTTTTTCTGATATTTTTTTTTATATCATTATCATTAAAATTCTACATTAACATTTCATATCCGTCAACATTAACAACTGGAATAAACCAAATAACATTATTTTTTAAAAAATCAATTGTTTGTTAATCCCCCTAAAAATATTAATAAATTAAATATGCATATGTATAAAGTTGCATTGTAAGTGACATAACTTCTCTAGCGTGATGTAAACTATTTATAAAAACTCCTTATTAGTTATTTAAGTCGTTATTTTTATCTAATACTTATATTATATAATTTTATTTAAACATTTTTATTATTTTTATTTTTTACAAGTTAAACATGTTAAATAAATATCACGATTTTCCTCTGTATTTCCTACACTTTCTAAAGGACATGCTAACTATTGAAATTATCTTTAGACACTTCTATATAAATCAAGTGTCGTAGATTAATCAAAAAATCCATCCTTTTTATATTTAAAATAAGTTAAAAACATTTTTTTTTTTTTTTTTGGCAACGATAGGACCAGTAGAAAACATATTCTAAATTGTACTCCATTAAGTATTCTTATTTTATACAAGTTATATAAAATTTTAAATATTAAATGCTCTTATAAATTAGAAAAAAATTAATAAATTAAGAATGACAATTAATTTCATAAATTTTTATTATATTTATTTTAATTTTTTTAAAATTACAATAATAAAATTTAATTTTTTTTTTATTATAATATAAAAAATATCAATTTAATAATGATTTTTCTATAATATCTGAAATTTATATAATTTAGCAAATAATTTTTAAATAACTTAACTTTATAGTTCGTT